CAGTAACTGTAAAAAACAACCAAACAAAACAAACTTGTTCAACAGAAAAGGAACCATAAAAATACAAAATAATCATGTTTTAAAAAGCAACACATTTGGTATGCTTTGCCTAAAAATACCACAGAATTAATTCTAACAAAGAAGACCTCTTAAAGTCTTGCTTACATTGACATTGCTATATCTTTCAGAGGAACTACTAAAACATCTTAAGAAAATCGCTGCTTATGTTTAATTAATTCAATATCTTAGATGATGGGCAGCTAGCTATTTAACACCTGATCCTAATAAAAGGATACTTGCTCCAATTCTACTGGTGTGTGCTATTCCAGAAGAAAATGAATTTGACTCCTAAGAGAAAGGGAGAATAGTAGAGAAGAGGTTGCTTAGAAAATTCCATGAAAGTTAGTTCCTCAAGATCTACGTATTAGTTAAGAGAACATATTCAGAAGAGAACTAGCAATGAGTATCTAAAATTATGTATATTAAGATTAATCCATTTAAATAGCCTGTGTGTCACTACCGCAAATCTGTTTGACAGCCTTGTATTCTACTGATGTATGCATAAAAGCATAGCTGAGTCTCCATTACTGAGGAAGAACATGTTAAGCATTGCTGCTGCGGGCTGTATTTGCTTAAAAAAGGTTACACAGGAAATAAAATATCCCTCTTTTTCTGATAAACTGCAATAATGACAAAGAACCACCAACAACTTGTAAGAGAAATAAGTTATGTCATTAATCAATAAGTTGCGTGTTCTATTATGAAACTAAACTTTGAGTGGCATCCAAGATATACAAAATAAAGCTACTTTTTAAAGAACTGTTCACCTAATGTCTCTTCAAATGTTGATTATCACACCAAAAAAAATGATCTATAAAATCGTATTTCTCTTTATTAGCTGTTATGAAAACCATAATAGACTTTGGACATAGAAAGGTCTTTGGATAGTCTACAGGAAGTGTAGTTAAAGTATGTACAGATGTTATTGGAAGATAGAAAAGAATAAAAATATAAAACTATGTGGAGGGAATCTGAAAAGGAAACAGTATCTAGCTGATAGTTGTAATAGGAGGAATCTCTACAGTAGTAGAAATGGAATGAACTTTAAAGGAGATGGGCTCTCAGTTGCTACAGACCTTGGTGCCTTACTATCTAAGATAGTGCTTTAAGTCACATACACATACTGCAGTATTGCTGCTACTGGAAGGGAGTAAGTACCAACAGAGAAGGCATTTACTGCAGGGAAAGACGAGGATGACTAAGATCACGTAACTGGCCTTTGCAGAGGCTGTTTGGGATCTACACATCTTCTGCAGAAACTCCTTTCTGAAATGATCTTTGCTATTGAACAGGCTGGTTGTAGAGGAATGTAATTTGTTTCCCTAGGAAGAAACCCTTAGGCTACAACGTCTTAATGCGTCTTCTGTCCTGCAAATCAGAGAGCATCACAAAACAGTACACAACATGGGAGCCAGCAGACATTACCCAGCAGATTCTGCAGCATCTGTGGCTCATTTTGAACATACACTTAAAACAGGAAATAATAATGATACTTTTAAACAAACAAAAAATCCCAAACAAATCTGATGCAGTTTGTATAATCCTTACCCAAGGATCAAATGGGGGTTAATTATGTTTATAATACAAGTTTTATATTTCACCCTTTATAAAAAAAAAATTCACAAATGCACTGACTGACTATACCATATCAGTTTGTTAGTGCCCCTAAAACTTCATTTTGCTGCTAAAATACTATGCTTATAGACAGGAAACTTTGTTGGTGGAACTAGCCCCTTCACCTTCCCACAGCTCAAGTATGAAAACACTGGGAGAACATACGGTTTCATGGGTCTGACTTTTACTTAAAAATGAAAAACATATGTGAACCTTTATGTCCCCACAGAAAGAAGAAACAAAGGTCGGAATACATGCTTCAGTAGATGCCAGAGCAGAAACCAGCACTGAAACCCTGCCCTTCAGTTTGATTTCCAATTGATTAAAAAAAAATAAGAGATGCTTCTGGCAAAGAGCCTTCCCATACATGCTGATAGATGAGGCCACAACTAAAACACCAACACACCCAACTATGCTGCTTACACATAAGTATTCCTGGTGTCAGAAACATTTACACCTGAAATAAAAAGAGTCATTGTAGAGTATTGCCAAATTCTGGTGGATATGAAAAGCAAAAAAGTCAGTGTAATCTCTAGGGTTATTTTTGTACTTATACCAACTTTTTAACAGTAATCAAATGTGTGTGCACATCAAATAATAGCTTTTCACCACTGCCAATATTGCACACCTCCTTTTTTCCCTAGTGCTGTCTTCACCCATCTGCTTCACCATCCACTGCAGTGGCTGTGGCCGCCTTCTTTCAAAACGTGTTCTCAGGAGACAAGCAGTAGGGTTTTAACTGCCCCATGAAGACTTTGCTTTTAGCAAATAAAAATCTATTTGTTTTCCCTTTGCTTCTTTGAAGATCTGGAGATCTGTGCTGTTTCTGACAAGACTGGGAGTTCATTGGTAAAAGGGGCAAAAAATTATTTTGAGGCCAGAAAAGAGCTACAACGATTTTACTTCACAAGATGAATTGGAAGAAACTGAGAAAAAAGAGCATTTACCTTCATATGTCACAGACAGCTCCAAAGACAGCTCTTTAGCTGTTCACATCACTGAGTTTATTCAACTTTGAACACTTTAATCTGGGTTTACAACTTCCAGCCTTCATTGTGCTGCTGTAGATGTCTTATTTTTTATCTGACCAAACCACAGACTGTGCATGTCTTTTAAAGATCCTGTTCATTAGGAATAAGTCTTAAGGTAACCTTCTCTCCTTCTAAGGCATTTTCAGGTCAGCTATGATTCAGATCAGAATGCTCAAGCTGTTTGCAGAAGCTTCCTAGTAGAGGCTATGGGCAGGACACAGAGTGAAAGACCTAGCAGCGGAATCATTTCAGGCTGAGTGGGTCAAAGACAGATGCTACCAGAAGAAGTGGGCCTCGGATTACTCACACAATCAGATGACCAGCATTGTTACTAAATTATTTTTATTTTTACAGATGAGTTGGCTTTACATGTGTAAGGACAAAGCCTGGGTGTTTTTCTGATCAAAGTTTCACATGTAGAGGAGCTGGTAACCACAAATTATGAAACTCATTTTCACAAGATGTCAGTGAAACATTCAGATCAGATTAGTAAGAATGAAAAAAAAATACCCTGATATTCATAAATCTGAAAAATGTATTAGCTATGAAGTGGTTAGTGCCATCAAACTGTACCCCTGCCTCAAGGATTGAACTAAGTGGAAAAACCACTAGCTCCAGTGCAAAGCAGTCATCTCACTTCTGTTCTAACAGGAAGTTGCTTTTATCTCATCTGAAGATGGTAACTTTGACAAAGACTAATTCTGGAAACAAGAAGCTACAGGGCCCTGATCTGGAGTGGCAATTTCAGTGAGATAGCTAGGCTTTTTCTGTTACTTCTGCAATCCTGAGGAAAGCAAAGACCAAAAAAGTGTTTTGGTATGATGTACTTGTAACAGAGAAGCATGCAGTACTCTGAGGAGTACCAATTCTTGTTCTGTCAAGACAGCAACTTCTTAGATGATGACTAACAATCGCTATAAACAAACACTCTGTTAAAGGATATCCCTTGAGCAACATAAATAATGTCCTGTGTTTGTGCACCTAAATGTAATGACTGGATCTACACTGCTGGCATAACCAATGCATATGTATAGATTCAGTGTTACCTTATAGGGTTGGAGTCCAGAGAAAAGGAAGCAGCTAACAACAATGTAATGTTAACTCCAGTACTTCTTCTGCAAAATTCAGATATTTTAATGGAAAACTTTGTCCTTACTTTAAAATGCAACACAATTTTAAGATTAAGTGTGTTTAAGTCTGTTACTACAGTTAAAGTCTTCATTGCCTCCTGTTAAATTTGAAAAATACGTGATTAGGTGCTGTCAAAGAGAAGAAAGTATTACCATCAATTTATGAACTGGTGACAGTGATTCACTGGCTCCTTGACTTTCCACTTTTCCTACAAATCCTACAAACTAGAGGCATAGACCCCTCAGAGGAAAGTATAGGCTTACAACCAATGAATCCAAGTCACCCACACACCACCAGTTACATTCAAAGTCACACTCTGTGTGCCAGTGAACTATTTACCATCCAGTCAATCATCAGTGCATACTCACTAAGTGAAAATCAGGATTTAGGAGAGGTGTTTTTGTCATGTGCGTCCCCAGGCAGAGCACAACACAACTGTGTCAACACTCTGACCCACAGCAGCATCACTTCCAGGTGACACAACACCACCCAGGGGACAAGCTGGCCCTCAACCCAAAGTATCCAATACATGACACAAAATGGCCATTGGAAAAGGACTTCTATGAAAACAGGGTCTTTAGTATTTGCCTTCCCACACCAGCAAAATTAGTTAAACTGCTCAGAGGTTTCATCTGTACCTTTCAGTTGTGCGCACAGTGCAGCATTGCTTGCACATATTAAAGCTATTTTAGCTACTTTCTGTCCAATCAAACAAAAAAAACAAAGCTTGCTACGGGCAATATTATTAGGCATCCTGGCATGTTTAGTGTTGGGTAGCTTTTCCTTAGGAAAAGCAGGAAAAGAGAGTGCTGGGTGAAGAGAGCGCAGGGTGTAGCAGCACTCATCTACTATTAAAAGCTGTGGCCAGTGTTCAAGGCCGGAGGCTCATTTCTTCTGGCGAACAGTTCTTTTCGGGGCTCCTTGGTCCCGTGCTTCCCTCCGTCTGCAGGAGCGGCCGGTACTGAGCAGCACACACCCGCACGTCCCAAAGCCGTGCTCCTGCTCCAGCCCGCCGGAGCCGGGACGACTCGACCCGTCCCGCACGTGAAACCCGGCTCTCGGCCTCAGCCCGCTGCGGAACAGGGCTCCAGCCACCGCCCGCCCCCGAGGAGAGCTGCGGGCGCCCCACCACCCCGATGACAGGCTCACACACCGCAGCGCCGTCCCGCCACCGCGGCGGGCAGGAGCGGCTCGCACCCCCCCAACCAGGAGAAGCCCCGAAGGGAAAGGCGGCCACCGCCCTGCTCCTCCTCCCCTGACAGCGCGGCTGCCTGGGCGTGTACCGCGCGGCGCGCCCTGACCGGCTACGGTGCCGCCCTTCGGCCAAGCGGGAGCAGCTGTAGCGGTCAGGGAGCGGGCGGCGTGTGTGAGGCAGGCAGTCATGCAGCGTTGGAGGCTTTTTCCCGTGGTGGTGGTGGCGTTGCTCGGCGTCTTGGTCACTGCCCAAGGTGAGGACGGGCGGGCGCAGGGTAGCGGTCTTGCTGCGGACCCCCCTTCCTCTCCGGTCCGGGGGGGGGGGCTTCTGGCCTGTCTTCTGTTCCCGGGGTATGGGTCGAGCGCTGTCGCTCGGCACAGAGGAGAGCGGCATCGCCGGAGCGGCCCCGGGGACGAGAGGAGCACGGGATGGAGCCGGGCGGGTCCCCAGGCGCTGGCTGCTCGTGTCTGTCCGGGGTAGGGAAACGGTCCGCTCTCCTTCCGGCCTTTTTTTTTTTTGTTGTTGTTCTGTGTGTTTGGTTTGCCTTTTTGCCACTGTTAACTTAACTGGAAAAGTATTCGTGAGTTTTCTGTCTGACTCCGGGACTGGAAACTCTGTCTTGAGTCTCTTCAGTAAATACGTGACACTCGTCCCACTGCGGTCGTTGGGTGCGGCGGGTCCGTGAAGGAGGCTTGAAGGGGGGTCTCGGGGCGGCGGGGAGCTCTGCTGGAGCTCGGCTTCCATTTTAGGAAAGAAAGAGGAGTTACAGCAGTTCGAGCGCATCAGGCAGTTAGTTACTCACCACAAAGTGCCGTCACACTATAGACCTTAAAAACAAACTAAATATACTATGGCAAAACAGCAGGGTAAAACACACCAGTATATTTTCTGATAAGCTGCTTATGGCTTCAACATGTGTCAGAGATGATTCTTCTGAACTCTGATAAAAATGGTAGGTATGTAATAAATAACACGTTAGTATTTGGTATAAGGAAACAGTTTCGGTGGGGGAGAAAAGAAGCAAAGTTCCCAGTACCTGGGGTTCGATTTTTTTTTTTCCAGGAGGAAGATTCCTAAACTGGAATATGCCATGCAAATTATTTCCTGTTTATATGATTTATTTCTAAGAAACCTTTTTTTTACCTTGTTAATATGAATGCTCAGTACTATGCCTAGGCATTTTCTTTCCAGTGCTTTGTAAAAGCAACACTTAAGTATCCGTCTCTTAACTTTGACTGGAAGCTGTAGAGAGTGTATGCAGGATAAGCAGCTTGGCGTCAAGCCCATTTGACTTCAGTTCTTATGCTGTGGCCTTATTGTAGTCTAAACTGGTAGGTTAGCAAAGCTGAGCTCTTGGACAACTAGTACAATTTTACAGAAACCACCTTTAAATCTGACAGATGATTCAGGCTGATGACATTTAGATATCATCTTACTGCTTAAGTGGGAAACGTGATTCTTTTCCCCTGCAAGCAGTCCTCACAGTCGTGGACAGCAAGATCTTTGGTGTGATGCTCTTAAGATGTGGAAGTTATCTGGTGTGACTCAAAAGTAGTCTTCCTAAACTTTCTGCCAAGAAGTTTGGAGGTGAATAGAGTCTGTCTGGTTTCTGCTTCACTGGAGGGGAAGTGCCCAGAAACTGCCTTCAGGGCTTTTGTTTTGAATTCTGAGGAAATGATCCTACATTTTTAACAGATTGCTCTGAAAAATTGCTTAGTTTATGTGCATACTATTGACTGCTGATAACACAAGCTAAGTAGGTAGGTTATAATTAGTTTGGACACTTTATCCTTACACAAAATGCATAAGAATTCATGAACTGTTGAGAATGTCAGCCTGGGGAGGGTGGGGCTCTCCAGGGGAATTTCCCATTTCTCGTGGTGCAAGCTTACATTAAAATAAAGGCAAAACCTGCATGACATACTTTTGAGAATGTTGATGTCACTGTTGGCAGGGTGTCTGTAGTCTGAATTTGCAGAACTGCTATGGAAAGTTAAGGGTCTTGCCTTACAAGCAGCTCAGCTGTTGTGTGACAGTTTGGAGGTGACTGGTTTCACTGGGACTGCTCGCTTTCATAAATTGAGCAGATGAGTGGGTGCCTCTGGACTGAGAATTTATTATCAGATCATCCATTTTAGGCATGTGAAAGCTGCTAGCAGGATTTGAATGTATTATTAAGCAAGGGTGAACTTTGTTATTTGAGCTTGCTTAGAAAAAGAGCTTGCAGTTTTAACCTCAGAACTGGTATTAAAGTGTTGTCTCATTTGCCAAGTATGAGCTCTCCAAGTAAGACAGATCTGGAATTTAGATATTGTTGGGGCTGCATCCAGAAGAAGGTTGAATGTAAGTTTTTGTAGCATCAGTTTCTACAGGCAGTCTGACAGCTTGCCCCTGCTGAGGAGTGGGATCTTTCCATTTTTCTCCTGCTTTGGTCCAGTGCCCGCTGGGGCGGGTACTGGGATGATTCAGTTTGGTAAATCAGCAAGTGACTAATCTGATGCATTGAGTTTGATCTGCAGTCTTTGAGTGTTGAACCCAGCACAAAGGAGTGGCAGGGTCGAGCATGGGAGAGTGAAAATGAGGTGGGAGTGGGATGGGGGAAGTGGGGGGGGCAGGAAGCTGCCTGCTTCTGTGAGGTTCAGCCATCCTGCATCTGCGAAATCACTGGGTAGCCCAGTATCTAATTTTAGGCATCTGGTTTTCAAAATACAACAACAACAAAGAATTAAGCAACAGATCTTCTGTACAATTAATAGGAAGAGCACAGCAGAAGGAAAACTAAACAAAAGAATTCACATAGATGAACAGCAGAGAACTGCTGCATGGAGACACAAGGCTCAAAAGTCTCCCTTTCTACTGGAGAAAGATAAAGGCATAAAAAGCTGTCTTCTGACTGAGGATGTCTAGTTTGGACTGAAAAATATGTTATTTAAGTATTCTTTGCAAGGATTGAGTAGAGTTTGCTGATTGAAACACAGTTGTGGTAGTGAGCACCAGGAGGCAAGCAAAATACGTGCTAGAAGCTGAGGTATCTAGGTTGTATGATCCGTAGCCTAGGTTAAGTTACAGGTAGGTGTCTCTTCTTTGTATGACTACTATAATTATAGGGCTATGAGCAAAAGGAAGAAAACACTTGTGCCCCTGACTTATTGCTGAGGCAAGTCAGTGTTGAGAAAAATGACTAGTTGGATGAAAGATGGTGAAAAGAGCATGTGTGTAACCAGGTAGATGGAGTTTTTCAGCTGGAGGCTGATCTCTGCTTTGTGGGCTCTGGAGTTGTTTGCCATTTAGATCTGATTAAAAACAAACAAAAAAACAACAACAACAAAAAACCCAAGCCCACACCAACACACCCACCCCCCCCCCCTCCAACACAGCACAACTTACTTTCAGTTGAACAGTTTTAGTAGCAGTGCTAGTGTGCATACATGTCAGCATGAACTTGGAAGGTGCAACACGTTTCTGCATCTTTCTGTGTACTCTAATTTGAAACGGCTAAGAGGTTGTTTGTTGTTCTTTTTTAATGAGGTGGTATTTATATAAAATGGCCACTGTACTGCTACATCAAAATGACATCACTGCAGCAATCCCTAAACTTTCCCTAGTTACAGTGATTTAACTTGGCAGGAGGTAAGCATGACTCAGCCTACTGCTGTCCAGCCAAGACCAATTTCAGTATTTTCCTGATACTCTGGTGCATGTGGTGGGGTTGCCTGCACTTGAGAAGGGACTCTGCTTTACCTCTTGCTGTCTTGAACCTCACTGCAGTCGACTTGTATTTCATCAGGTGACAGCTGTGTTAGTGAAATGCAGTAATAATAGCAATCTTGATCAGTTAAGATCGTCTTGCCAGGGGCAAGCCTCTTTCTTTTAGCCAAACTGTTTTCCATGCTCTAGCATGGAGACCTACTCTTTGAAGTCTAATAAAATTTGAGAGAATATTATGAGCAAAACAGTCTCAACTCAGGAAACTTTTACTTAAGTTAGTTTACTGCCAGTTTACCTAAACTTCTGCTGATGCATTTGGGCATTGAGAGAAAGAAAATGATCCATCAAACCCCTAAGGTACTCCCCGTTCCCTGCTTTTAGCTTAAGCCAAGCACACCTACCCAGCCCATCCGGGTTTTTGCTGCAGGTTATGCTCAGCCCATCCCCTGCTCCTTCAGTGATATGACAGGCAGAGCAGGAAGGCTATACACCTCATGGTTTCTTTCTGCTGCTCCTCCTTGCTTCCTCCTGATTTTCCTTTGCTGCTCTTTGCTTCTAAGTGTTCCTGCCCCAGTGAGGGTTGCTTATGGTCCCTCAGGGCTGCCACTGCTCTGGTGTGGGTGTGGCTCTAGTGTCAGTAGCCCACAGCTGCAGTCCTCAAGGGTGCCTTTTCCCTGATGTAGATGGCTCAGCTGCAGTTCCTCAGGAACATACCGTGTTGGCATGGAACCTTTCCTGCCAAGAGCACATTTCCTGCCATGGCCCTTCTGCAAGTCTTTCAGACTCGTGTTTCCTGTACCTGCTGGCTGAAGCTGTTTCTTATTCTTGCTTCTGTTCAAGCAAGAATATTCTGTGCTCCTCTGATCAGTTGAAGGTTTGGTGCACACTGTTCTTATCAGTGCCAATGTGACATGGCAGTAAGTAATACTGGGAAGTTCATGGCCTCTTCCCAGGCAGGGCATCCTGCACCCTCTGCTGCTGAAACCCTGCCTAGTTCATGTCCTGTATATTCCTGAGCAGCGTGTGCCTACAAACTGTTTGGACATATACATCTTGTGTCTCCAAAACACATAGCATAATTTCTAAGATGAAATAAGAGTATTTATCATATGTAGCAGCACATATTTAATTTCATTATCACTTTTCCAAAGGCCACCTACTAGGCATTTTCTGGTCTTCATGTGGTAAGGACTCCTTCTTTAGGAATTTAAATTTTTAGGGATTGCTGCAAGAAGACAGTAACTTTTTTCTCAATTCTGGTGTTCCCAGGGCTGGCTCATACTTTTCCACCCAACTGAACTTGTGGTGAATGGTTTTCTGCAGGGCTGCTATGACGGGTTTGTACTTCTATGTCAACTAGCCCCCCCCCCCCAGCTCTGTAGAGGTGAGATTCCCTTTCCCTGGAGTGCAGTTTGAAGTAAACCATTGTACTGTTGTATCTTTCCAGGTGTCTGGGGTTTAGAGGGCATATGATACACCCACTCTGCTGCACAATTTCCCCCTCATTCTTGGACAGCTGTGGTTTTGAAATGACTGCTGCTGTCT